TATAATAATTTAACCATATAATTTACCACTTCACAATTAGTTTGACAATTAGTACACACATAGACTAATTTTACGAACTTTCATTGCATTTTATTAACATTTCCTAAACCGCAGCATTGCCAAAACATTGTGCGAAAGTATGATACCAGTTATAAATAGACCTAAGATTTTCCATATTTCTATGATCAAAGTGAATTCTGATGGCATTACGCTTCGTTTCATTGAAAATGGAGTTGAAAACTAAATGCATATTTTAATTTTTTGTTTGCAAATTTGTATGAGAGCGTATGTTTTATATAGTATTAGCTTTTACCCGCGACATCGTCCGCATAAGTTTTTTCGTTTTCCTCGGCTGTAAGTCCTCCTGCAACAATGTCCCATTATCGCGTTCCGGTCCTCAACTTCACATCAAAATTTCTTCAAAAGCAACCTAAGCACTTAATGGATAGCTGTTGTAGTTCTAGTTTTGTTCGTCGCATCGGGCCATGCTATACCTTTTTGGAAAGCTCATTTCACACGCTAACACGTGTTTTATTGATTGTCATTTCTTTTGAGTCGTTCGTGAGTTATAGCGTCGCAAACATGGAGCAAAATAAAGAGAAAATACGGCATAGTTTACAGTACTACTACGATGAAGGCAAAAATGCATCTCAAGCCGCCAAAAAAATTTGTAGTTTATGGATCCGATACAGTTTCCCTTTGAACTGCACAACGATGGTTTCAACGTTCGTTCTGGTGTAGAGGTAGTCTTAAAATGTCGAATGCGCTGCCGAAACTATTAGCGATAGAACAAAGTAAAATACAACAATATTGAAGAACATCATAATGTCTACAAAAAACTCCGCGGTAGCATATGTCCAACTATTGTAGTTATGTTACTACAACAAGTTTTTTTCAATTTAAACATTAATGAAAATGCTAACCAAATTTAAACCATGCTATTTATTTGTTTATATTAATCCTTATCCAAATAAATTATTTTATGGTCAAGACATTTAACTTGAAAGATTTCGTTTAGGGCGACTCCGAGGCGACAACTATGAACCTAGGAGTAAAGGGGTTACAGAAATAGTTGCAGAAAAGGTTGGAAATACTTTCAAAAAGTCATCTATTCCGATAGTTTCACACACCAGAGTTGTACAAATGCTCACCACATACCATAAGAAATTTCTGACTCTTAAACAAATGTTTTTAAGGAACCCAATAGGTTTGAGCTCTAAAAGAGACGACTTTGTCTCTTCTGCCGGAAAATTATTTGACATCGCTGCTTGTAAACGTCATTCAACTTCAATATTTACCAAAAAAGTATCAGCTAGAACACGTGACCATTCAGATCAGCCAGACTCCCATACAGACGACAAAAATTTAGATGCGTCGCACATGGATTCTTCCAAAAACGATGCTGATGACAATTTAGCGTCGATGCATCCAGGTAACATGTGCAAATCTCTGGCTTACCTGTGCAAATAGAATTCTGAGATTATACGTTTCTACTGACCAACCAAGGAAATAAGGATTTTGGTCAAGTACATACTTACAGTTTACTCACCTTTGTGATTCTCAATAAGATTCAACAGTTCAATCAAASATGGMTCGCGCCATCTCTATGCTGCAATTCAAAGGTCGAGATACTTACCTGCTAAACTGCGCAAGGTTGTCGATTCATCCATTCAACAGAATGATTTCTTTGCTCTTCCAGAAAACATTCTCCTTAGTATGATGACTGACGAACGGATAGAAGTCAGAAAGTTGGCCCTTGACCGTCTTCTGGCAGCCAGAGAAGCAGAGTCTGACACTGTAAATGGAAGTGCCAAAGCTGAATTTCAAAGCTAATAATTACTACGATATGATTAACTGGAAGACTATTACCTTGACTGTGCCACCAGTTCTTTGTTCAGTTTCTAACAAAGAACTCATAAAAGGGCTGTCGGGTGACACTGCAGAGGTATGGAAATTTAGTGAGTTCCCCTCTCACATCGTGGCAGTCGAGAGAACCGTCAAACTGGTGACAGAGGCATCTTCTAAAGTTATTGGCCCCCAATCTCGTGATCGTTTTATACGCTCTACACTGAAATCTAGGCAACAAGTGCCAAAGTTTAGTACAAAATCTTATTTAATCAATCAATTTGACACAGATTCAGACTAAAACAAGCCTGACATATGGTTGGTTGCTTGGGTTGGGCTTGGGAGGGACCCGAAGAGCAGCCACCTCCACGCAGTGGGTTCTGGGTGACCAATACAGGTTAGCTGAGAGCTGCAACAATTTTCRCCTTGCGCTGTGGCGTGCCGCATTTTCGCTCGTATCTCGGGAA